TTGACTCTGAAGTTTAGTTTCGTATTTGATGGGATTAATATTAAAAAATAACTAAACAGAACCGGGAGGAGAATAAATAGAACTGCTCTGTCTTCTTTTTTATTTTTATCTTATAGAAACACAGACTTTTATAATTTCACATGTAGTCTAACTTTTATCAGTTCCTCACTTTCTTTGTATTTCTCTTTGTTTGTGAATTATTGTGAAGCCGAAACCAAAGTGAATTAACTTGAGTTAAACTTGAGTTTAACGATTAACTAGGTTTAGTTAACGAGCAGAAACATAATTTAAAATCCAACATAGTAAATATGGATAAATATGAATCGTGTCAGGAAATGATAAGTTTTTAATTTCTGTGTTTCCTCAGACGACTCCGACGAAACTCCTCTTCCACCGACTGCAGAGCGACAGGTGAGACACAACAAGAAACACAAAGAGCGTCATTCATGTGATTGAGCGTCTTCTTCCACGAGTGGTCTTCCTCTGAAAGCACATTTAAATTCACACAGACACACACACTCAGAACCATCACACATGAACAGACAGACACAGAACTGGTGGATGTAATTCACTTCACTTATTTTCATACATCACCACTTCCAGAAGAGAAATGTAAAGATTGTAATTGTACGTCAGTGACCTCCGTTCACCGTCTCCTCCAGGTGGTCCAGTCTCTGGGCGTGGCCATCTACAGAGCTCTGGACTGGGGCCTGGACGACAGTGAGGAACGGGAGCTCAGTCCGCAGCTGGAGCGCCTCATCGAGCGCATGGCCGGCGGGGGCCCGGACGGGGGCCCGGGCGGGGGGGGCGACAGCATCGCCGGAAACGGAGCGGCGGATGAGGGGTACAGCGGACAAGAGGAGGAAGAGGAAGAGGAGGAGGAGGAGGAGAAGGCGAAGGAGAAGGAGGGAGCGATGAGGCCGGTGTGTACGTTCCGTCAGGTGATGGCGATGTGTGCGTCCCGGCTGTCCGATCCCAGCCTGGCTCCAGAGCACTACCCGGCTGTGTGCAGGGCTCTGTTCGTAGAGACGCTGGAGCTGCAGACCTTCCTCACCAAGATCAGAGACGCCAAAGAGGTGAGTTACATGAAATGAACTCAGTGTCCTGGGATCATTATTGTCCACACAAGCAGCTGCTGTGTTTTAATTTGCATCTCAGACACAGTCACACCTGAATCTTCTCGTGGTTCGAAGTGAGGAACCACTTTACACACGTTTCCTGAACCTTCAGTCAAACTCATGATTTACAAACTCATTCACAACATCAAACTTTATTAAATCAAATCAAATATAAAAGCTCAATTATGATTTTGATTTCAATGAACTTACTTATTCATTTAGACTAATTAGTTTTAAAAGTGAAATTTTCTTCAAATGATAACTGACATAGAAAAGACAATTAGTTTCCAACATTTATCAAACTGTAGATAAATTCTACCATAACAGTTCCAGTGAACACCAACATTATTTATTAAAATCCTTTACTTACCAGATCGTCTGACCTCGGGCTGTGAGGTGCCGCTCACGTGGTTATTTCCTCATAACTAACTCAAGTTATAATAAACTGAAGCAGGTTTATTCAGAGTCTGGTGGTTGAATCATCTCTAAAGAAACTGTGACAGTCAAAGCTGATCCTGACTCTGACGTTCATCATAATAATACGTTGAGTTCAGTGTGAGCGTCGTTTCTGTTTGTGGTTAAAACAAATGTGTTTCTTGTTTGTTGCTCAGATGCTGAAGAAGATCACGACAGAGGAAGCTCTGGAAGATCAGTCGACAGCTGAGCTGGACGCACTGAAGAACAGAGACTGGGTGAGACTGAACCAGCGAGACCGTGTGTCGGAGACGTCTGTGTCGTCATGGTGACGCATGCAGACATATCTGAGTGTGTGTTGAAGTGGTTGTGGTTGTTTTCCATCCCAGGCCCGTCTGTGGGTGCAGCTGATGAAGGAGCTCAGACAGGGAGTGAAGCTGAAGAAGGTGCAGGAGCAGCCGTTCAACCCGCTGCCCACAGAGTTCAGCCTCACGCCCTTCGAGATGCTGATGCAGGACATACGAGCGCGAAGGTTCCAGCTGCGTAAAGTCATGGTGAGCCACAAACCCTGAGCTTAAAGATACAACTGGTGAAAAAATCACATTTATTTATGGAACTAAAATTATGTTTTCCTCCACCAACCAGATCGTTTCAGTTTGAATACATTTGCATTCAGACTCTGTAACCTTTGACTTTTTACCACTGAATCGAATCACTTCTTCTTTTAAGCAAACGGAATATTTGTAACAAGTTTGAAGAATTTCCGTCAAGGTGTTCTAGAGGTAACGTGTTCAAAAGGCTAAGAATGATTTTGTGAGGCCACTTTGACCTTGGACCACCTAAATCTACTCAGTTAATCCGTCTAATTTAACTGTTTTACCAAATTTGAAAGAACTCGCTGAAGGCGTTCTTGAGATATCGTGGTCACAAGGAATGGGCGGACGGACAGCTAAAAAACATAATGCCTGAGGCCACTGGGTGTCGCCAGCGTGCAGGAATAAAAACAAAATGTAGAAATAAAATAAATGAGAAGCGACATTTCGAGAAGACAGCAGGAAAAATCTGGAGATCTTTCTTCAGATGCAACATTTCTAATCGTCTGTAAAAGGCCTCATTTAATGTCAGTGTGGATCGTGTTAACGCAGTCGCCATCGTTCTCTAGTTCTCCTGGACTCGAGCATGAACTGACCTCTAATGTCAAAGGTCATCGTGACCTCACATGATTTCACATGCTGATGACAAACTGTCACAGAAATCTCCCAAAGGATGAAACCGTCCTCAAGGTCGTTCATCCACAAGGTCAAAGGTCATAATTCAACATGAGTCAGGAACAGAAGAAGAGATTGTGACGAGCTCTTAATCACAAATCATTTATTTTATATATCTGTGACGTAATCATTGTTAAAGTAAGAAGTCAAATGTGAAGAATCCGCAGGTGACAGGGTGAAGGTACTGAAGTGAGAGCGAGTGTTAGATGGTGAGTGTGATTTTGTCTTGTTACCAGGTGGACGGGGACATTCCCACCCGAGTGAAGAGAAACGCACATGAACTGATTCTGGATTTCATCAGGTCACGACCTCCGCTCAAACCAGTGAGTGTGAACACGTCTCAGAGTGAATCACATGTTACAGGATACAAGTTCGGTCTCAGTCAATCATCAGAAACCATCTTTGAGAAAAATGTATTTAACGTCTACTGTGATATTTTAGTTTGGTCCATGTCCCATCTGCTAACATGGAGGAGGTGGGGTTTCTGATCAATACACCAGGGGACATTCAGGATGATTTGGCTTCACTTTTCTGGAGCTGTCAGGTCATCCATCTTTATTCTGTTGTCCCTCTGGGTTCCTCCTCTGGTGTCCCTCAGGGCTCCGTCCTTGGTCCTCTTCTGTTTCCTGTTTACCTGCTGCCTCTTGAAGCTCTTTACTCTTTGAATCAGACGTCTCTCAGCTATTATCCATTAAAACCTCCGATTCAAGTCAAACTAATCTCACAACTCTGATTTCTTCGATTTCAGTTCCCTGAAGGTTCTTTATATTTTGTCCTTCTCTTTTTCCTTATTCGTCTCCTGTGCTGATGTTTTCTGATTGTTTCTTTCTGTAAGGTCATGGAGCGCAGCCTCCCCCCTCCTCCCCCGCAGCAGCAGTCCCTCCATGACCAGGTCCTCGCTGAGATCAAGCAGGAGAGGAAGCTCAGGCCCGTGGACCCGCCCAGCTCCAGACGTAAGACCAATATCTCTCACTGATCCTTTTACCCAGAATTCAAGTCTCCCACCTAAAGGTCACATGACAGATTTAAGAACTGAATGAAAAACATCATCAACCTCCTCACTGGCGACCCCCAGTGGTCGGAGGCATTATGTGTTTGGATTGTCCATCGGTCTTCTTGTGAAAACGATATCTCAAGAACACCTCGAGGGAATTTCTTCAGATTTGGTACAAACCTTCAACTGGACTCTAAGATGAAGTGATTAGATTTGGGTGAAGGTCAAAGGTCAAGGTCACTGTGGCTTCACAAAACATGTGTTTGGCTTCTTGAACATGAAATCTTAATATGTCTTTCTGGAATTTCTTCAAATTTTGACTCAACTTGGACTCAAAGATGAACTGATCAGATTGACCTGTGGATCATTTCAGTTTCCACCTCACAGACACAAACGAACGCAGCCGATCATATTTGTCTCATAACAACCTCACTGGGTCATCATCACCATGCTCTCGTCTGCTCACCGTCAGGCTCACAATACACTTGAGTAGTTTTCTATTTAAAGCTGCAGCTCCTGTGGAAGTGGTTTCACATTTCATAAATATTGAGCTGTTGTTTACAGATCAAGGTCAGTGTTCAGTGGAGCTCAGTGAGAAGTCGCTCTGTGTAAATGTGCTGTGGTTGAAAACAAAGAATCCAACCTCTGAAAATGAATTCTGAGCAGAGAGAGAGAGAGAGGAGAGAGAGAGAGAGAGAGGGAGAGAGAGAGGAGAGAGGAGAGAGGGAGAGAGAGAGAGGGAGAGAGAGAGGGAGAGAGAGAGAGAGAGGAGAGAGAGAGAGAGAGAGAGAGAGAGAGAGAGGAGAGAGAAGAGAGAGAGAGAGAGAGAGGGAGAGAGAGAGAGAGAGAGAGAGAGAGAGGAGAGAGAGAGAGAGAGAGAGAGAGAGAGAGAGAGAGAGACCAGGAACACTGTAGCACCATCAGGTTCAGCTCTGACTGGTTCTAATGAAAACAATAACAGTTACTGATTATTAATGATAACAGCAACAATTCAAATGATCATTAATTACTGAAGTGTTGTTGATAATAATAATAATAATAATAATAACAGTTGTTCCTGGAGTCAGAGATATCTGCAAAGAGAGAGAGAGAGAGAGAGAGAGAGAGAGCGACTATGGGAGAAGAAGAAACAGTTGTTGATGTTGAATCACTGTGTCTCTCTCTCTCTCTCTCTCTCTCTGCAGCCTTCGGCTCTCTGCCCTGTCTCGCTCAGACGTGTCCCTGCAGCGTCAAATCTACTTCATGCATCGACTTGTCTGTGTCGGACTCTGGGCCCCGGCCCTCGTCCCGCCCTCGCATCCTGCTCAAGGCCCCGACTCTGGCAGAGATGGAGGAGATGAACATATCAGAGGTGAGGCCACGCAGACGACGCTTCCGTCTCTTTACCTTCTCTTTATTTTCCTCCGTCACCTCCAAACCTTACTGATGCTGCTACTCCACTTCGCTTTTCCTTTTCCTCCTCCTTTCTCCTCCTCTGTTCTCTTCCTACTCCCTGCCCTCCCTCCTCCCTCCCTCCTCTTCCACCTCCTCCATCCTCTTCCTGCTCCGTCCTCTTCCTCCTTCGTCCCCACCACAGGAGGAGGAGTCCCCAGACAACAGCGAGCTGAAGCGGGTGGAGAGCTCCCCCATGCCTCTGAAACGGGACCGTTCCTTCTCTGAGCACGACCTGGCGTTGCTCCGTGGAGAGATGCTTCCTTCGCTCTCCGAGTCGGCCCAGCTGGACGGGGCGGTCAGGCTGAGATTCGAGAGGCCGCGGTCCCGGACTCTGACCAGCTGCGGACCGCCACCTTACTTCAGAGGTCAGTATGGAAACGTTGGCTCGTGTGTGGAGGCAGAAAGGTAAACAGTGTGCATCTAATCACTGGTTCACATTGTTGATCGTGTCGTTGCGTGTGATAAATTTTTTTTTAACATTATGAGACATTTTTCCTCAGATTTCTCAGAGAACTCTTCAAAGATCTTGATGAAAACAATCCGACATATTTATACGACTGATCTCTCCGAGTGTTGGGCCTCGGAGGTGTATGAGCTTTAAGCAGTGAGTTGGACATGAACAGTTTCCTCATCCACTTCGCGGTCGGGGCTCGTTGGTCGGAGTCTCGTGCTCGACTGAAGGACAAATAACGACTCTGTTCACACCGGCTGCATTTCAATCCTCGTCCCACAGAGGGAGCCACAGTGACTCTGTATTTATCCTCATTCATTTTTTAAAGAGCAGAAGGTTTCGATAGTTTTACACATAATTAGAGGGAAGTGTTTTTTAAGGTTTCAGCTCTTCTGCCTCAAGGAAACTGGTTGAATAACAAAAAGATGAAGACGAAACGACGACTGTCTTCTTCTGCTATGAAACTCAAGTTCTTTATTTACCTCTCGATTTAATTTCAACCTTTATGAAACGACTCAGTGGTGGAGGAGACACTGTCGTCTGTCTGTCCTCAGTTATACCTCTAACAGTAACCTCGTTAGATCACGGAAACAAGAGCTGTGTTGGTGAGAGCAGAGAGGCACTGACGGGGAAAGTATGGATGGATTCTAATCAAATGTAAAGATGTGCTGATAAAGTCAAACTGAGGGAAGGAGGGCGGAGGCTAATGGGTTTGAACTGTGTGCTGCGAGTAAACCACAGGGTGGAGGTTATCTGTGTGACGGCCATTAGCAGCCTCGCCATACAGCGATCTCCACTTCAATCCAGTCTCCATCTGTAAGAGTCTGCAAGCTGATCCACGCTGCTGCACAGACCACAGGGTCTGAGCCTGGTGGAGGGGCAGAGCCTCTGCAGCGGGTGGATGACCAGGAGGATAAATCATGGAGCGAGGGTTGTATAAATATGTTCATGAATATGAAATGGATCATGACCAATATCGTGTTCCTTGGTTGTGACACACAACAACAGCTCGACACATCTCAGTTTGTTGCTCGTTTATCATCGATGTAACACAAAGTTACACAAACACAAACTTCGTTCACTGAGATTCAACTTGGATCTTTTGTTACTTGCTTCCTGTGATATGCAGTATGCGACTCTGCCAACAGGAGGCGCTGGAGCCTCTGGTGTGTGAGTGTGAGGAGGCCTCAGCTGATCCAAATTATCCAGAGCTGTTTACCGGCTTGTTTACTTTGCATCAGAGCCACATCGACACCTCCGTGTGAGGGATCAGAGTTTCAGCTCCAGACCCCCGACCGGCTCTGGACAGACGTCTCTCTGGGACCTGAGTTTCACACGAGGAGCTGAAATCACTCTGCTGCGATGAGATTAATAAAACATGACAGTGTCGTCCACAGACCAACTCTGCGCAGGGCTGAGATCTGAGAGGAAGCTAAACGAAGGAGGCTGATGTGTAATTCATGGACTTCCTCTCACTGATGTTGTCCTTTATTCAGTCCTGTTTACTTCTCTCCCTTCTTCATTTCCCACCCCAGCATCCTTCCCGGGTCACAGCTGGGTGCCGTCCTCCCCGGCCCGTCTGTCTCTGAGCTCAGTGGACGAGACCACGGAGGCCTCAGAGGCGGCGTCACGCTCCAGAGCTGCAGACGAGCACCAGTGGATGGTGAGGAAAACACTCTGTGACATGTTCATCACGTCAGTTTCAGTGAAAAAAACAAGTTCCTCCAGTGAAGTCAAATAATTTCCACCTGGTTCGATCACAAATCAATATTTTCTCTCAGACTTTTTGTTATTAGGAGTTTTTCTGCAGGTTTTGTGCTTCATATAAAAAACACTATATTTTACATTGTTTATGATTTTATGATACAAATCAAACCAAGTTAGTGACAAAAACATAATAGAAATTATAATAAGAACTTTATTTGTATAGCATTTATCTAAACAAGGTTACAAGTGCTTCGTGATATATGGCAAAAAAAAGAAGGAACTAAAATAAAAGGTATTAAATTCAGTTTCAAGCATCAAATCATGACGTCATAAGGTTAAAATGAAAACGCTGCAACTGAGGGTTTTTGTTCATCAGCTGAAAACAGATGAACTCTGTGTTCAGGAGGAGTTCAGTCATCCTGTGGAGAGTCTCGCTCTCACCGTGGACGAGGTCATCAACGTGCGCCGAGTGCTCGTCAAAGCTGAGATGGAGAAGTTTCTTCAGAGCAAAGAGCTTTACAACAACCTGAGGAGAGGCAAGGTGACGGAGGAGCTCCACCCGCTGCTGATCCTCACTGAGCTGACGTCACATGAGCGGACTCAGTAACTGTGTGTGTGTGTGTGTGTGTGTGTCTCAGGTTTGCTGCTGCTGCAGAGTCAAGTTCCCTCTCTTCTCGTGGCCGTCTACGTGCCTGCTGTGTAAACGGTATCGTGTTTGTTCATATTTCACCTGTAACAGATTTGAGTTCGCGCTCGTTCAGAAGAGTTTGTGAAATGATTTAATGTTTGTGTCTCCGTCAGATCCGTCTGTGGCTCCTGCAGCGCGAAGGTAAGAACGAGAACTCTTCATCATATCACGTGTTCAGGGATGAAAAGTCATCAAAGTCTTCCTGAGTTTTATTTTCCCAGCATCCCGTCGCAAAAATGATTCAGAACTGGTTCTCATCGTACATTGATTTGATTTTAAAGTTGACGTTAAAATACAGACTCTAGAAGTAAAAACTATTGTGATAATATTAATGATAATGATAATGATTATTATAATGAATAAGTATCAAACTCCTCCAGCAGCTGAAAGACACAGGTTTGTGTTTGTCGTGGACAAATCGAATATTTGAAAGAAGGAATAATGAAAGCAGCAGTGACTTCAGTTATAGTTAATCATGAATAATTCATTAGACACATTCTTTATAATTACTTATCATTGATCATGGAGGAACTCAGTTTAACTGTGTGTGTGTGTGTATTAAGTTTATTTTAAGATTTGACCACTTTAACAACACGCAGCGTTATTTCAGTTGAAGTTTTTGTGTTGACGTCATTTCTTCTGTTCTTTTGTCGGTTTTGATTTCGCCTCAGGCCCAGGCCATGTTGGATGTGTGGGTCTGTGCTCTGCAGGTTCTCTTTTTGTGTGCTTCTTTTTGTGTGCTTCTTTTTGTGTGCTTCTTTTTGTGTGCTTGTTTGTTGGGGTGCTGTGACTCATTGTGCTGTTCTATCATTGTTGTGGTGTCTGTTTGTTCATTAGTGACAGTCCTGGGTCTTTCAGCGTCTGTGTATTTAAATCTGTTGCTTGTACTTCTATAAATACTGGTATGAAAGTACTTCGCCATGTCCCATCTCAACACAGTGTCTGTCTGCGTCTCCTTGTTTTGCTCCAGATGAAGATTCCCTCGAAGAAGATGGCTCACATCCCCGTGTACACGGTGGGATTCCACAGCGCCCCCAAGAGCCACGCACACAAAAGCCAAGTCTATAAGTGAGTCTGTGTTTCTCCCTGTGAATCCAGCACAGGGCCGGTCTCAGCCGGTGGGTCGGGGTTAAAGGTCAAGGTGAATAAAACATTTCACAATAAAAGGAGGAAGAGAACTTCATCCTGTTGGGACCATGAACTAAACTGTCCAACAATTCATAAAGAACTATTTCAATACAGTCAAGTTATGTTTTTTTTAATTAACCCAGTTCAGATTGAAACACCGTCATCAGACACAAGGGGGCGTAAAAAAACAAGAAGCCTTCAGCGCCCTCTAGTGGTGCTCTGTGTCTCTGCACACTCACTCTGGAGTATTTACTTTATTAACTTCACACGTCAGTCAATGTAAAGCTGACTTGACCTTTTGACCAATCACTGGACTTGTTAATCCCCCCCCCACCCACCCACACACACACACACACACACACACACACACACACACACACACTCATCTGTGTAAATCTACCCCCCCCCCTTCAAACTACTGATTGCTAACCTTCTCCAACCTGAGCAGAAACAGCCTCCGTGTTCCACCAATCACAGAGAGACGACTCAATCCAATCACCAGCTGCCCCCCCCTCACACACACACACACACACTCTCACACACACACTCTCTCACACACGCACACACACATACACACACACACACTCTCTCACACCTTCCCCTCTCGTGTTATATAAACAGCAGAGAGCCGAGGCCTCTAAGCAGCCATTATGTAATAATTACTCAGCCATCATTAATATCCTCGCTCGGCCCGTGTGAGGACGGACGTGGACGAGAGCGACAAGAGGACGGAGAGATGGAGCGAGAGACGCTGAGTTAGAGAGAGAGAGGAAGAGAGAGGTGGTGATCGGTTTCTTTTAATCAGAGAAACTTGGAGGAGGGGTGGAGCCTGGGACGAACACTTTACATTTTGTTGTGGATGAAACTGCACATCCAGGAATTTGTCTCCACTTTGTTTAATTACGTTTAATGACAAATAAATAATTAACGTTATCAGACCACTTCCTGGTTCAGTTCTGCTACAAGAACGAGGCAGGTGTCGACTTTATTCTCTGATTGTCATCTGCCTCCATCATGTATAGATAATAAAAGTCTCCCTGTCCCTCTGCAGGTCCCTGAGGAGTTTGTCCCGTCGCTCAGTGGAGGAGGAGTTCCCTCACCTCTACGCTCATGGCTGCACGCTGCGTGACATCTGCGCCGAATGCACCAAGTTCGTAGCCGATGTCATTTCCTCCAGCCGCCGGAGCCTGGACATCCTCAACAACACTCCCAAGAGGGAGGCCAGGGCCGCGGCCGCCGCCGCGGCCGCCGCCGCTCACAGGCCACAGCTGCAGCGTCAGTCCCACCTGGAGACTTTTCCTCAGCAGGACCCTCCCCCCCAGCCTCACCCACAGTCACTGTGTCTCCCCCAGCTCCCTCCCCAGGCCCATCAGCAACAGCAGCAACTTCACGCGTCATTGCCTCCTTCTTCGCCGCAGCTCCGCAACGACACGATCAACAATGTGAACCAATGATTAGATACACACTGTTTACCTTTCTGCCTCCACACACACACACACACACACACACACACACACACTGACACTGCACACACACACACACACACACACACACACACACTGACACTGCACTACACTCACACACACAAACACTCACTCACACACACACACACTGACACTGCACTGCACTACACTCACACACACAAACACTCACTCACACACACACACACACACTCACACACACTCTGACACTACACTACACACACACACACATGAATGAAAACAGTGAATGATAAAACATATTGTGTCCTTCATGGGCGGGGCAGAAGGAGACGCTCGAACCAAAATGAAAATGTGTTTTTCTTTATGCTCAAGCATCAGATGTCTTGTCGCTTGCTGGAGCCATGAAAAACTGTTGAAGCGCTATGAATCCTGGGATATGTTGGGTCGTGGAGGGTCCACCTGTTGGACGGAAGGAATCGGACAGTTGTGACAATCGGTCTTCAAACGCAGCTTCGACATCGAGTTTATAATCCAGTGAATTCTTCTTTAAATGAAGTTTTGAATGATGTGAAACGCTGCACAGAAAGTTCTTAGTGAGAATCTAGAGACACTGACTCCTCATCCATATCTCACGTGCACACACATGCACAGAGATCCTGCTCACGTTCTAAGCGCTCAGCTGGAGGAAGTTTTACCTGCAGAAGCTCTGGTGGTTAAACTCTGAGGTGGAGGTGGGTGGTGGCATTTACTCGACATGTACCCGTAACATTTAGCTCCCTGTTGTTGCCTTGTGTTTAGTCATGAATGTAATCTAGAGGAACTGAACAGGATTCAATTTAAGATAATTCTAAGCTCGCACATATGATATTAACTTTTATTTTGAAATCATCCTTAGAAAGGGATTTATTCGACGAGCGGCTGCTGCTTTTAAAAGTCCCGGGTACGAGCAGCTGAGGTTCGATGGTGATGACACTGTGAATGTACAGCAGCTGTGGACTGATGCAGCTCGATGGACATGAAGCTGATGAAAGTCTCCCTCTCTCCCTCCCTCCCTCCCTCCCTCCCTCTCTCCCTCCCCGCGGACGCTTGTGATCTGCTCTGTTTTTTTTTTGTAAACACTAGAAAAACCTCAACTGCAATAAAACCCAACGACAAACACGAGCACTGCTGCGTCTGTGAGTTTCACTCATCACTCCTGGCTCCTCGAGAGTGAATGGAAGGTTTTAATCGTTCAGTGAAGAGATGTTGTTTTGTTCTTTTCTCCATCAGGTGAATTAAAAGCTTTTCTCCTGCTTCATAGAAAAAGTCCTGAATAAGACAAATTGAGGAAACTGTTGAGAAGCTCCAGATTACAAACGAAGGGTTCGGTTTCCACTTTGGGAAGATGATGATTGTAAAAGATTCAGTGAGAGAACCATCGATCCTCCGCCCCCAACAATCACACATGTTCCAGGACGTCCTGAATCATTCAGGTCTGAACTCTCGGGCTCTGGATTTATACTGACGCTGTTGATCCCATGTGGAACCTTTAGCTCCTGCGTGTTTCAGTGAGCAGGTCACAGGTTCCATGTTTCTGTGACACACTGAATGAATCAGTTTATGAATAAAAAGAAAATAGTTTTCTAATGTTTGAGCAGCAGATTCAGAGCTGAGTTCACACGAGTCAACTCTAACTCGATAGAGCCTAAACAGAAGTTGTAGGATTTTGCTTTCAAAATAAAGGCTTGTCGAACAGATCGGTCTTTCTCTTGATTAATGACCCTTTGTACCTTTATTTTGAAAAGTGCTCTGTTTCTCATTATTTCATTAAGTTTGAACATTTGAATTCTTCAGGTCCTGAAACTTTAAATTGTGTTTCTTTAACCTCTTATTTTGTAATGCACACGTGATCAAAGAGAATATGTCCATGTATTATTTCTTTTAATGACATTCAGGCTTTTTACTTGAATTATATGTATTTGTGTTTTTATTGTTTTACTCTCATACCCTTTATTACATATGTTTTTTTCTGGATTGTTTTCCTATTACAATTAATTAAAATGAATTCAATTAAAACGAATGTTTTCCAGATTAATAAAAGAAGTGAATTTAGTGAAGAAATGTACAGTTTTGATAAACATCTGATTTTTATCCAACATTTTCAAAACCTGCTCAGAAAATCTGTGGCTTTATTTTGAAAGGTCTGACCGGATGTTGTCTTATTTAGTTCTGGTTCTTTTTACAGGAGAAGTGAACAACAACAAACTCTCCCTCTCCTCCTCCTCTCTCTCTCTCCCTCTCTTCTCCTCCTCTCTCTCTCTCCCTCTTCTTCTCCTCCTCCAGTCCCCCCTCTCTCCTATTCTTTTCCTTCTCCCCCCCTCACTCTTCTTCTTCTTTCCATCTCTCGTTCTCTGCCTCTCCTCTTCTTCCTTTCCTTTAGTCTCCTCCTCTCTTCTCCTCCCTCTCTCCTCTCCCTCTCTTCTCCTCCTCTCTTCTCCTCTCTCTCTTCTCCTCCTCTCTTCTCCTCTCTCTCTTCTCCTCCTCTCTCTCCCTGCCCCTCTCCTCCTCCCTCCCACTCTTCTCCTCCCTCCCCTCTCTCTCTCTCTTCTCCTCCCTCTCTTCTCCTCTCTCTCTCTCTCTCTTCTCCTCCTCCTCCCCTCCCTCCTCTCTCTCCCTCCCTCCTCCTCTCCCTCCCCTCCCTCCTCCTCCTCCCTCCCTCCCCTCTCTCTCTCCCTCCCCCTCTCCTCCTCCCTCCCACTCTTCTCCTCCTCCCTCTCTCCTCCTCCCTCCCTCTCTCCTCCTCCCCCTCTCCTCCTCCCTCCTCCCCTCTCTCTCTCCCCCTCGGGCCCGTGTAGTGGGTGTGTCGATGCGGGCCAGTGGCTCCGTGTCTCTCCCTGAACCAGGGACCGAGCAGCGGCTGAGTTCAGAGTGAACCCGCCTCCGAGCAGCGCACTAACCGCGGGAGGGGAATGGCGGTCTGGACCCGAGCGGACAAGAACGGTCAACTGGACCTTCTGCTCCGGGACCGTTGGATCCGAGTGTCCGCCGAGCTCACCCGGGAGACGCTGACTCTGACGGCCGAGGCGGAGGTGTCCGGACCGGGGGGGAACCACTGGGACAACTCCTCCGCGGGCCTGCGGAATGGGATCTCCAACGGAAACGACCCGGGGACGAGTCCGGGGAACTCTGGCCGCGGTCCGGACCAACTCCAGAGCCAGAACTCCGGGAGCCGGGGGCGAAGCTCCAGCCCAGGACGAGGGGGTGTCAGTCGGGGTCAACACGACGGAAACTACAGCCCCGGGAAGTACCCGAATAACGGCACAAACTCTAACTTTGGAAGTCCCGGCTCCAGCTACGGCAGTCCCGGGTCCAGCTTCGGGTCGAGGCAGGGAGACTTCCCCGTTAGTCTGGACGGTTCCTCGGAGGCGGTGCGGAAGGTCCGGGTTGTCAAACAGGAGTCTGGCGGGCTGGGGATCAGTATCAAGGGGGGGCGAGAGAACCGGATGCCCATCCTCATCTCCAAGATCTTCCCGGGGCTGGCCGCCGACCAGAGCCGGGCTCTCCGGGTGGGGGACGCGATCCTGTCGGTGAACGGGAACGACCTCCGGGAGGCGACGCACGACCTGGCGGTGCAGGCGCTGAAGAAGGCGGGGAAAGAGGTGACGCTGGAGGGTGAGTTGGCCAACGCGACAGCGGGGATTTAAGGCCCGAGATTAGGCTGCTGAGGTCCGGGTGCACGTCTCTGAGCTCCGGCTCTTTGCACGTGGATGTTTGGGGAGTGAGAGAAAACACGAATGGTCCCACATCAGGTTTTTATTCTTTAAACTAAACTCACATGTTGACACCAGAAGTTAATGATAATTCAACTTCAACACAGACTCACAATGAGACGAGCTGATGCAAGAGACTCCAATAAAAACTATACAAGAATAAAAACAAAGCAAAGACACGAAGATAGAGTCGTTCTGTAAAAGTTTAACTAAATATATTCACATTCAGAACAAGCTGCTTTTTAAATAAAGAACCACAAGATGAACATCTCTCACACACACACACACACACACACACACACACACACACACACACACACACACACTCACACACACACACACACACACACACACTCACACACACAGTGTCTCACTACACTGATACAGAACCAGCAGGAAGAAGAGACCTTTATTGTGTGAACAGTCTGTGATTGTTGTAAACAGGAAGGTAACTCAGTTGTGGTCTCAGTGAGACTCACACGTGTGTTTTCAGTCACTGTGTGATGCTGAGGAGCAGAGGTCACTGTGAGGAAGAGGAAGACGTGTGTCTCTGAACGACTGTGAGGAAGAGGAAGACGAGGGAACGATCCACGTGTTCGTACAGTAAAGTGAGAACGATTAAAGCAGAAGTGCATCAAGGCTGTAAACAGCAGAGGAACACGAACAATATGAAGGAAGTTGAGTTAAACTCAAACTTGCTGAGATGAAATGCACGAGAACGAATACAAAGGATCAGCGTCTCTTACCTTATTATTTCTATCATATTATCTAAAATGAATAATATCAATACTGTTTATCCTTCTACTAATTCCACCAGCGTCTGTTTGTCCACATGTGAAACTTTTCATCTTATCGACGGAGCAGGGTGTCTTCAGTCTGTGGACATGTCCTCTTCTAGGTCCTCAGATAAACTACAGCAGTGGTCGGTGACTTGGTCAAAATCGTTGTCAGATCATTTTGATGGTTAGATTTGTTTTTTTATTCCAACGTAACAGACTGACGGACAGTCTGACCTCGGCCACTGCAGCAACATTCACAGAATCACTTCCTGTTTGGCCATTTGTATTCTTTCCTACAAGGCTTTAACCCGAGTAGAATTTCAGAGCTTTTATTTTGAAAAGTCGTGAACTTGGGTCTGATGTTTGTCGATTGTTTAACAAAATGAAAAATAACAGCAGCGGAGTAAATCATTCAAACGAGAACTTTGATGAAACAAATTTGGTTTTGTTTTATAAAAACACTGACACACACTAAATGTTCCGTGCAGATAAACCAGGTAGAATGAACACACAGTTTTTTAACATCAGTCTGCATCACAGTCTGTTCATAAAAAACTTTGAACACAAACTATAAGAAGTGACAGAACATTGTAGAAGAGTTTGAGGACGACTCAGTAACGACGAGGAATAATTCTGATCAACACAGGACAAGAGAACACAACATTACAAACACACACTTTTACAACAGTGACTGAACAAAACGTTGTGATACGGTTCTTTGGAAGTACATGTACTTCCTACATGTCAAACCAAAAACAGACAAAACTTCTGTTGTTACTTCTCACAAAGTTTTCATGCTGCACACGGAGGTAACAGGCGGTAACCACAGAAACGTGTCGGTCAGGAGATGCCGCCTCATTATGGGACCGAGCTGAGCTCCATGGAGATGAGTTCCGGTACTAAACCGCGCTGATGTTGAACTTTTCAATCTTTACAAAAGTGGAAAAAGAGCGAACGGGAGGGAGCGAGGCCACAGAGCCCTCGGGGTTTGGAAACTTCAGGCCGGGAACGGCTAAATGCTGCGTTTAATGGTTTGGAATGATCACTGGGTGAATACTGACGAGCACAATTTGAAGGAGCTAATCGATGTGTGACACATTTCAACTCCGGTCAAATTGAGGCCTGTTAAAATAAACCAGGGGAGAATGTGAGTGACTCTTAAAGTCACTGACTGAGCCGATTAGGTGTGAAAATGCTGTCTAATAAGACCTGATCCAACATCTTCAGCTTTTGTGTTTCCAGGGAGTCGATGGAGATTTCTGACGAGACCAAACATGCACAAGCTGCACAGACTAACACAGAGGAGGAGCAGTTGTTAAAGAGGGAAATGAGATTCTTTTCCAATCCGCTTGTCGAATTTAGCCAAAAACTTCTCCTTCGTCCCTCGGGCTCGGACAGGAGGACGTGCTGCCTCCTCCTCCTCCTCCTCCTCCTCCTCCTCCTCCTCCTCCTCCTCCTCCTCAGTCCAGACATTAGTGTTCGGAGGAATGTATCGGCTGCTTGTCACTGTTTGTCAGTTTGACAGACTGCGAGCGTCGTTGTTTGTGGACCGGCTCTTCCTCCCTGTTCCCCGCTCCGTCTCTGCTTGACTCCCGCCGCCCCGAGAAAGAAGTGGAGATCAGTCAGAGTGAGACTTGAGTTTCCAGACCGCTGTGCCATGTACACGATACACAAACCCCCAGATATTCTCACAATTAGCTCGGGTGCCCCACATTCCTGACCTCCGCTTCCATGTGCGTATTTAGGGCAAAGGTCAACGGTGGCAGCTCCACGACTCGTGCAGCTCCACTGAAAACTCTCTGTGGTTTTTACTGCTGGAGCTGCGTGAGGGAGGGAAGAGTAAAGAAACACATCTGAGAATGTGATGGTTGTAATAAAAGAGTCAAGACTTGTTTTAAAATCGAGCTTTTCGGCTCATGGCTCTAAATATCCAACTTTATTGAATCTTGAATCAACCCACTGGTCTCAATCATTTGTTTTTGTCTCGATGACGTTTGAAACCACAAATGTCATAAAATCTGATTTCAGGATGATTCAATCTTACTTGTGTTTATCTGAGATGAGATAATCTTGTCAGGAACCATTTGCACTAGATCATTAAATTGGTTTGAACAAGTTGACTGATGGTTGAGGCTGATCCGTCTGTGAAGAGAAACCAGATGACTGGTCACTATCACTGTTGATGATCTGATCAGGTGACGGTTGTGGCTCATGGTGATGAACTCACAGAGAACAAAGCTCCCTCAGCGTCAGAGATCTGAAAACTGTGTCGTCATCTTGATGGATCTCGTCAGTTCGTTAATTTACGAGTGTGGTTTCACTCTCCGAGTCGTTAGCCATGAATGAATGAGCTCCTCTTTGACTGCCCCATTAAACAAAAATAACCCAGACACGACAGACTGCAGGTTAAACTCCCCTCCCCCCTCCAGCTGACAGACAGGTACCACGTCCCATGTCTCCATATGATGCAGTTTGCTGCAGCGGTGTGTCCGTGGGTCAGTCTGTAATTAGAGGACTAAAAACGCCACATACCAGACACAGACTATTGATGAGACGAGCACAGTCCTGACGAACAACACGTCCTCTCTTTTGTTCTTCGGGCCAAAAGCAGCCGACCGTCCTGTGACTGGGTTTGTTGGTGTCTCTTGCGGGGGTGAGATCCGTCGGCTCTGTGTCAGTATGAACTGCTGTGGATGTGTAACTGCAGGTTTCCAGTGGTCAGGATAATCACAAGTGAACCTCTGGAATATCACAGACATTTTAAAATATGTTTGGCGTGTTTGCTGATACCAATATTGGAAGTTGCCTCTATGGTCTTTCAGTTGGAGACCAGCACTTCAGATTTTCAATCAGAACCCTGCAGCTGCTTCTGCTTAGATTTGCTCTGCTTGTGCTCAGACTTTGTGCTTGCGCTCCGATACGTTGTAAGTTCGATGGTTTTCCTGCGCTTTCACTTTCATGTACTCCCACACGGGGCTCAAGAATAAGTTCAAATAACCACGACGAGGGTGGGACAGTTTCATTTGTCAGCACTACACCTGGCATTCTGTGGGTTGTGGACTGTAACAGACAGATGAGCAGAAGTTTCACGTGTGCACAGAAGCAGCTTTAGGAGAAGAGATGACGCTGGAGCGCAAGAAAATCTGATTGCATGCGACAAAATATCTGAGTGGAAGCGAACGGTCACAGAGCAAATTTAAGCTTGGGTTGTTTGAAGTTTACACTCTTGAATAAATAGAGGAAAGAAATACCTTAGTCACACCATCGTGTCACGGAGGAGGTTTGACTTTGTATTTGTGTAAGTGACTCATTAGACTCAGTTTGTTAAGTCTCCACCAACACCCAGCGTCTTCTGCTGAGCCTGAACCTCAGTCTGCCACCACCGGGGGGGGGGGGGGGGTCATGAGCAAACCTGTTATATGTGTGTTTGTCCCTTAAAGTAAGTCGACTTCTTTTTAACAGAACCTCCAGAACATTTCAGGAACATCTCCTCCTCCTCCATCCACACCACGTGGGGTTCGGTACCTCGTCTGTGAACGCTCTTGTCCAGACTTGAGGAGCCGGGGATTGAACCACAGGCCATTTGATTAGTGGACGACCCACTCTATCTCTTGAGCCACAGCTGCCCCCAAGTGTGGGATTATAGTATGGGATTATACTGCATGTAGGCGTTTATATTTGAAAAGGGTGCGTCAGGTCGTCTAGATATTCACGTCTGAAAATAGTTTGAGAGATCACATGTTGCCTCTTGACAGAATCAAATATATGAAGGATTTGTTGACACAGAATCATCATTTGTTTGTAAAGCCTCAGGTTGCTGTGAATTGTGGGATATCTGAATAGTTTTTATTAGAAATATTTCAGCTCTGTTACAGTTTGAGCAGCAGCTTATTAAAGAGACGAGCCTGAAACACACAGAGCGTAACGCAGCAGTAAATGAACATCTGGACCATCAGGTTCATGGATGTGATTCTCTTGTAAAGTGATTTTTTTAAATGCAAAATAAATTGAAAAGCCTTTATTGTAAAAATAGCCAAATGTGGCTTAGCTTGTGTATTAGTTCCTGACAAATCAAGTGACCTTCTCACGCTGATGTAAATCCATCATAACTATAAAGCAGCCCGGCTCGCTGACATGCAACAATCCCTGCAACGGAAACCAGAGATATTAAAGCAGCAGCGTCGACATGATGCGTCGTGTTGTTGCCCAAATAAACCGTTGTCACATGGTGTCGCTGTGTTGTCGTGGGACAGACGGACAGAAACACAAAAACAAAGAGTTCACCTGACTCATCAAACAGCAGCAGAGGTGACGCTCTCTGCCGTTCACTCACTGATGTGGTGCACAATCAAATATCTGGATCCAGTGACTTTAAATATTAAAAGCTGGAGGTATGAGTCTAGGTTCTATTTATTCAGGTGGCATTTTGAAAATAAAACCATCTCTGTGATAGGATCCAGTCAGTCAGTGTGAGTGTCTACGTCATTGTTACAGAACTCAAAGCAAACGAAAGCGTAGTAGTGAGGATGTAACCTGAGAAAACCAGCAGATATTTACATTTCTGCAGCTGGAACCAGAGAATATTTGACATCTGAACCCTGTAAAGTGACTTTTTTATCAAAATAATCACTTATTCCTTTCCTGTGGATCGTTTCAGCTTCAACCATAAAGTAACGTTGACTTGTTTAAACCTGAGAAACGAACAAGTCAATAACAGCTGGCTTTAACTTTCTATACACGATTTTCAATTTAAACATCAGCTCATAAATAATAAAGAGTGATTTGTAAAATAAAATAGTATTGTATGACAAATTGACCTGCCGGAGAAATGCTCACCCACACACACACACACACAAACCTCTCCACTGGAGCTGTGTTGTGACACATTGTTCTCATTATGTTTCTGGCAGAAACAGATTTTTGAGGGAAGGAGCAGGAAAAGCGAGCGAAACAGGATTAAGAAGGAAAGAACAGAGGTGGGGAGGTGGAACTTCAGGAGAGCTGCAGGAACACAGAGGAAAGAGACGGAGGGAGTGAGGG